CACCATGACCATATATAGACACATCATGTCTATAATTGGGCATACAACAGTTTTTTGTGGTCATGATGACATCACACCATGACCATATATAGGCACATCATGTCTATATTTGGGCATGCAACAGTTTTTTGTGGTCATGATGACATCACACCATGACCATATGTAGGCACATCATGTCTATATTTGGGCATGCAAAAGTTTTTTGTGGTCATGATGACATCAAACCATGACCATATATAGACACATCATGTCTATATTTGGGCATACAACAGTTTCTTGTGGTCATGATGACATCACATCATGACCATATATAGACACATCATGTCTATATTTGGGCATACAACAGATTTTTGGTAGTGTGGACAGAGCTTAATCGGTAAATATACCGTAAATACTAAAAAAAAACGCGCCGCTCTCCAATAAGCGCAGTACCAAACCTGATTTTGTTTTCTCGGTACGCGCCGCTCTCGAATTTCTTTCTTTATTTCTTCATTTCGTAATTTTGGCCTTCGGCCCGTATTAAATAACAAAATCAATATTACTAATTTCCTTTAGACGTTCATTTCTTAAACTAAAACATTTTTCAATATATATTGCAAGCAATCTTAATTCTTTTTCATTTCTAAATGTACATGTAGTACACGGTTTAAATATATATATTTTGATTTTTAATATGTATTTATCTCTAAGATTATTATAAAGGGCAGCTAAATAAAAAGTTTAATTCCTCCTCTATTTCTCCAATATCACAAACCAAACAGATTCTATATTCTCTAACTCTTTTTAGATGTCTTCTTTTCTCAATAAATAAATCCTTCCCAAGCATTTAAGTAACATGTTTATGTCTAATTCCTCTTTTCACAATTATTATACGCGTTCTAGAACTGATATTCATATCCCTTATCACAACACAAACTATTTCCAACATAACATTAGATATACGGGCCCCTCTAATTGGAACAATCTACCATTCTCAATTACCAATGCTGTTTCTGCCAGAGCCTTTTCTAATAAACTGAAAAAACACTTAATCTCAAATTATTAAACTTTCTGAGGTTGAAATTCGTCGTGCTGTTTTGTTTTGAGCTGCTTTCTCTTCTTTTTTCTTTATATATTTATTTTTTTTTTTTATTTATTTATTCATTTATTTTATTTATCATTTATTTTTTTATTTTTTTCAGGCCTGCCCATCACAAGATGTTTGTTTTTGCAAACAACTTCTCGGGACCTGGCCTTCTTCCAATTTTTGTATTTTGCATTTGTAATTTTGTTTTTCTAAGTGCATTTGGAAGAAAATAAATGTTTTGTTGAATTGAATTGAATTGACTATTCAAACGGTAATTGCCATCACGAATATTGTATTAAAAAGGTAATTGCGAATTTGAACTTGCAATATTGATACTTGGCTTGCGAGTATACTACTGCAACAATAAATATGCCTCACATGACGTCATTGCGTCTTAGAAAGATATTTATAAGCTTAGGAGGATTGTAGTCTTTTAGGCCCATATATTAGGTTGAATCTAAACCTGGGTATTTTTAGTAATTTGAGTGGGCGTAATACTATGACACATGGTTAAGCCCAAATGTACAATTTAATGATTCATTTAATGAAAATACAGGCCAATAACGAAAAATTGAACTTTAAGACATATTGTGATAAGCATTTGATAATGAACAATATTTTTTATAGTAAAAATTTTCAAAAGGATCATAAAATATTATGATGATAATTAGCATCACGAATATTGTATTTAAGAAAGTTTATATTGTTATGATAACATTTTGCAAGAGGGCCTTCAGTTTTATTTCCATGACAACCATATCGACAACCGTAATTTTACCAATGAATATCGTTCGTAATTATCTTTTCATCGATTTAATTTTTATAGAAAAATCTATACTTTCTCAATTAACGCAACTTACTATTTCTATAACCTCACATTAAATAAAAGATCTAGAATTTTTAGAAAAGTCTATATGCCTTCAATCTGTATATTTATTGATAATCACAACAATGATTAATATTAATTGGGCTTCATGGCTATTTTTTAGAACGCGAGAGCTATAGCAAATGTATTAAAACTCTGTTCTTACTAGCAATTTTGACAAATTTCATGCATTGATGATATTATATATTAATAATAATAATATTTATAATAATAATAATAATATTGTAATATGAAAACAACAACAGTAATAATAATAATATGAATAACAATAATAATAATAATAATATGAATAACAATAATAATAATAATAATAATAATAATAATAATAATAATAATAATAATAATAATAATAATAATGATAATAGTAATGGTAATAATAATATGCGCTAAGTTGGACTTAACGTGAAGTTATTTTCACCTAAAAGTCGTTTTTTTTAAATTGTTCTCTAATTTCTCCATTGTCTAAGTTCCCCTTAGGTTTAAATATGTTTTTATTACCTTTCGCATTATTATCACTATAGTATTAATTAATTATCACATTGGGGTAGGCTTACTTGATTCATATGTAAGCCTATTGTTTTATTATTATAATATTACTTTAGGGAAAACGCCGAACGTTTTGCAATTGTATAAGAAATTATGATCCAATTCAGCTATAATGAAACGTAAGGATATCTTCCCGTACTTAGTTCTTTTCTTAAAATGTGTCGTGTTTTCCATCAATTTGGTTCAATTCGACAGACCTGTCTATTTGTTTACTCAGGAAGTATGAAAAAATTTTAATCGATTCTATAAAAAAAAAACAAAAACTTGATTTAGATTGTAATGCTGTTGTAACGTTGTCAAGAAAGTCCATTATGGCACAGTGACGCTCATAAGGTGTTGGTCATGAACGTTGTTATAGGCAAAAATATCAAAAATTGCCTTGCTGTCACACATAACATAGCTAATCATGAATTTAGTTATAAAAATCGCTATGTCCAAGGCCTAAGTTAGAATTTTCTACCACAAGATAAACCAAGATCTCGAAAGAATCGAGTAAAGCTCTGTTCAAATTATAAAGAAAAAAAAATCATGTGACATGATGACATCATGGCTATATATAGCATGACTATATATAGGTATACAGAAGTGTTTTTTTTTCCCCTTTTTTTTTTGTCAAATTTGATAGTGTGGACATAGCTTTATGTTGAAACTAACACCCGTTTATACTCTACAGCTTCGACAAAACAAGAATTAACATTATCGATGATATAATTACATATATTGACAATATCAAATACTTTGTATGAAACAAAAACAAACCTACGTAAACGGCAATCTACAACTACATTAAAAATAAAGGAGATATCATTTAAGAAATATTGATTACTTACAGTTGGCGCTGGTAGCCGGTTGCCAAGTTATCTAGGGAGAAAACATACAAGGATACATTAGCGCTTATAAACGCAAATATAACCTGAACTTAGCTAAATAACAATAAACGTCGTAGTGTTTGTTAATTCTGACTTGTCATGGAATGATTGGACGTGTTTAGTGTACATGTTGATTCCTCCTGACTGACACACTAACAATAGGTTAGTTTAAAATGTTGATGTCTCATATTGACTATGGCGAGTTCGGTGACCATGCATACTACTTTAAACGAACAGCGCATAAATCATAACTCAAAAACCATGGAGACAATGGGTTATCCGTCCACAACGCAATTAGGTGTAATGTTTTTTCATGCTTCAAGTTCACAACATTTTTTCAGTTCATATTGAACTCCTTGACCATTTATATTGTTATTGTTGACAAAAATTTTTATTATAAATAATTAAAATTTTAATTAGAGAAGAATACATTTGTTGTTATGGACGGACATATTATCAATCAATCAATCTTTAATAATCCCACATGGGGCAATTCATCTCGACATTACAAGCATCATAAAAACATGACATTAAAAATATAAAACACAGAAATATATACAATGAAATAAATCGTTGATTAAAAAGTATAAGGAGTCGAACGGCATGGTAGTTATCTAGCTTGTAACATACGGTACTTTGTTACTTTGATCAAATATTATATCCCAATATCATTTTTTAAAGCTAGAGATTCAATCAACTTATTAATGAAAATGTCAAGTTTTATTTATTTAAGTTATTTCGTTTAATTATTTATTTTATTTAAAAGTATTGAAATTAAATAGGGTTGTATGTTATGAAGAATGTCAGCTTATTTGCTGTACATTTGTTTAATAATAAACTATTTTATAAACAAAACATTATCAAAGAGGTTGCAACAATCCATTTAAAAAAAAATTAAAATAATCATTTGTAATAATCGTTGGGATGCTGTTGCAAAAAAAGAGTCTGTCCGTAACACAAAAATTGTCCATCCTTAACGTTTTCTTTCGTTAATTACTCAAGGACTATAAATTATTTGGTAACCCAACTAACTCTCATTTATAGACCAGTAAAATAACTTATT